CTCAACAAATTTATTATCGTTCTTAACTAGGGAGGTGCAACAAGAGCAGATGCAGCCCTGCCAGAAGACTCCTGTTTAGATCCATCAGTGTATATAACTTGTGATAACTTGTTACTACCAGCTAGGTGAGAAATTTCTTCTTGAGCAGTTGCTCTAACAAGAGATTTAAGGAAGGGATTACTAGCAATGAGCTTCTTGGGAGGAACTTGTAGGTATGTGATATTAAATGAACACATCTTCCATGGAGAGGTGAAATGCTCTTGTTGCCTACAGTGATACAGTTCATGCAGGTTATAAAACTTAATGCAATTGCACGTTTTCACAATCCAGTTAGATCTGTGTGTATTTACCTCTAGACACTTGGTAAGATTCACTGTGACAGTGTCTGGTTCGTTTCTCAACATTCTAATACCGAGTACAGTGTTAATTTCAACAATCCTATCACTGATACTAGAAATACCAAGCTCCTTCCTCATGTTAAGAACTTTTGTAGATCTGGGACAGCCAAGAATAATCCTGAGAGCTTCATTTTGCATTAACTCCAAGGGTCGGAGAGAACTTTCTCTAGCTAATATCAACATGGGAGCAGCATAATCAATTAAGGACCTAACATAGGCTATGTACATCATTCTCACGATTCTCACATTTGCACCATAGTTGGGATTGTAGCCAGCAACAGCTTTGAGAGCATTTAGCCTAGCTTTACATTTCTTGTTTAGTTGTGGTATAGTGGATTTGTTAAAGGGTACATCTACACCAAGATATCTGTAAGTTTTAACGTAGCTAATGATTTCACCCTGCAAATGATGATGAAAGTATTTTCTTTTTGTGGATTTTCTTTCTTTTTTGGGTCACCCTGCCTCGGTGGGAGACGGCCGACTTATTGAAAAAAAAAATATTATTGTCATTATTATTATTATTTTTATTATTATTATTATTATTATTATTATTATTATTATTATTATTATTATTATTATTATTATTATTATTATTATTATTATTATTATTATTATTATTATTATTAAGCTTTTCATGATATGGGATGTTAGTGTTATCAATCTGTAGTTCTTTGCAACTGCTTTACTGCCACCTTTGTAGAGTGGCTGTCTGTTGTTTTTAGTAAGTGTGGGATGACTCCTAGTTGCGACCTGCAATGAGGAGGCCGAGAAAATCCTGACTACTACTGCTATCAAGACTGAACGATTGTGGGTTTCAATCTCCAACTCTTTTAATTTGCAGGCGAAACGTTCTGTCTTCGTGAAAAGACTTGACAGGATCGTCACTCTCCTCTCAAACGAAAAACTCAAGTCATCCATCGAGGAACAGAACATTTAGGCCTCGGTGGACACAATTGCAAAGATACCCAACGCCTCAGCTATGCTCATGATCACCTCTAAAGGCATTGGTATGGCTGCCCAAGCTCTATCTGATGGACTAACCATTTCATACTACTTTATACACTCTAGCCACATCGAGCATTTCACCCCTCCGTGGAAGATGTGTTCATTTAATATGACATACCTGCAAGTCCCTCCCAAGAAGCTCATTGCTAGTAATCCCTTCCTTAAATCACTTGTTAAAGCAACTGCTCAAGAAGAAATTTCTCACCTAGCTGGTAGTAATAAATTATCACAAGTTACATACACTGATGGATCTAAACAGGAGTCTTCTGGCAGGGCTGCATCTGCTCTTGTTGCCACCTCCCTAGTTAAGAACGATAATAAATTTGTTGTAGTTAGGCATAAGAATTAACAACTGGGCGTCTACACTGCAAACTGAATTGTTTGCAATCCTAATGGCGCTAAAGCTAATCTATGACACTGAGCTTGACTCTATCATCATTACTGATTCTATGTCATCATTGAAGGCTCTTGACTCATATAATGACTCCAACAACATGCTCATTGGGGAAGCCAGGTATAGATACTCAAAAATTAGGGACAAAGGAATTAATGTACAATTGCTATGGATCCCATCACACATTGGATTACTCCTTCATGATAAAGTTGATAAGTTAGCCAAGAAGAGTACCCAGAAGGAGAACGTAGAATATAACTTTGGTATAACTGTGTCTAGCATTAGGAATAATATTAGGAGAGAAGTAAATAATGAAAATGATTGTTATAGGAATGCAGTTAGAAGCCTGAGTAGATCTATAACCCACTATGATAACATGAACGTAGATAAGTATGTTTATGGAGCAACTTGCAATGTGAACAGACTGACTGATGTTGTAGTGGCCGGGCTTAGGCTTGGTTATAAGCACTTCTGGCAGTTTGGGAGGCACACAGATGGTGATCAAACTAAATGTAAATTATGTAATCAGGCATATGGTCACTCTCTTGAACACATGTGCTATGTCATTATTGAGAATCAGGACAGACGTATAACTATGTACTTCAGAATCTTATAATGAAAATAATACCAGATTGGTGTTCGCTCAGGATGCGTTCCATTCATGTCAGTCATTCCAGTAACTAAGCAAATTTAAATTTGCTTGTAACAGTAATGAACTAAATGTAAATAATCCATATATTCTGTACCTTGGCCACCATCCCCAGAAAACAGGTGTCACTAGCATTTAAGAGACCTAACAATAAGGTCAGGGCCGAGACTGTTTCACTGCCTCCAGCACCATAAGGGGGATTACCACAGACCCTGTCATGTCATTCAAGTGCACTGTGAAACACAAAGAATTCCTATATTTGCTTGTAAGCAGAACAGCCTGTAGATCATGTAGATAATCCAATGAGGTCCTGGTAAACCGCCTGGGGGCTTTGACCCGAAACCTTCAGGAACCTTTTGTGTATCCATATGCTCTTGCGCTACCGTCCACAGGATAGACATGGGTGCACAATAAACTAGCCACTTCGGTGGCAAAATCTAAAAAAAAAAAAATCTTGCGTATTGGTGTTCTGAAATACGTGTTTGGAGGTCTCTTAATGTTTCGCCCAAGTATAATTTGCTGCAGCAAATTATACGTGGAGGAGGATGACTCCCACACTAGTACTCCTATATAATAATAATAATAATAATAATAATAATAATAATAATAATAATAATAATAATAATAATAATAATAATAATAATAATAATAATAATAATAATAAATCTTTATTTCTACAAGTACATGGACAAGGTATACAGGCCTAGATGACACCAATGACATACTACTGTATAGAAAGCCGCTTATTATGCAGAGCATTTCGGGCAAATTAGGTCAGTTTTGTCCCAGGATGCGACCCACACCAGTTGACTAACACCCAGGTACCCATCATACTGATGGGGAACATAGACAACCGGTGTAAGAAAACTCGCCGAGAATCGAACCCGGACCCTTGAGACCTTCAGCCACCAGCCATCACTGATACCAGCCATCATTGATGCTCGTCTCCATCAAATGAAGACACTATGACCTGCACTGAGCTGTACGAAGGGTTCTGTGCTGGGTCTGTCAAGTTTGCTTGCGAGTCTCCACTTCACTCCACACTTACCCAAGTACTAGAGTTCATAAAACCACTCCGCTTCACTTTTGGCAACAAGACAAAACTGTACCACCTCTGAAGAAGCAGCTTTAAGAAGTTCGGGAATGGCTCCTCTAGAACCCATCATCTCCCCGTAACACCTACAAATGAGCCGCCTTCCGTTGTCTCTACATGTCGACCTTTCCTGTGACCAAGCCTGCTGCCAGCTACTCAAGACTCCCAACTAACACAAGACTGAGGCAAACACAGCCTACTTCTGTTGCTCCATTCTGCCCCCACGAATTTTTAGCTGCTAGGTTTAGCCTTGGCACTTTCTCCACGACTGAAGACACCCCTTTCCATTGCTATTCTTCGCCTGTCCCGTCTTCCCTGCTCATTCCAAAAGGGGCTTACCGTCTGTGGATTCCATCTCACATTGGTCTTCAGATGCATGATAGAACTGATGAATTGGCTAAGTTATATACTTTCAAAGACAGAGTAGATTACAATCTTGGCTTGTCAGTTAGCAGTTTGAGAGCAATAATACTAAAAGAAATTCATCTGAACTTTATTGACTTAATATTCAGGGAGACTGACACCAGTCAGTCCATCTATCATTATTCTATCATGCAGGAGGAGCCACATGTCTACGGTGCATCTAACAAAACAAGCAGACTCTTGGATGTCACTACTGTCCTGCTCCGGCTGGGTTACAAGTATTTTTGGGAAGTTAAATCACTGCCACCAGATGTAGACCAAACGAAATGTAAACTTTGCCAGATGGACTATTGTCACACCTTGCGTCAGTATGTGCTGGAGTGCGATAAAATTAATGAATTCAGAGACAACTCACTCAGAAATGTTCAAGATTTGGCAAAGTATTTTATCCACTGTGGTATTTAACAAACCATTCTGGAAAATTACCCTGACTTTGCTCACTGTGAATAAAGTTAATATTTGCATTAATAACTCATTGCAGTTGTTGTCAGGTGTGGACGTGGTTCATTGCCTTTGTAATTTGTCCAACTATCAAAACTTTGCGCCCCAGTCCCTGGACCCATTATGTACCTCTGATCATTTTGACTACTCCCACAGGATGGGTATGGGGTGCATAATAAAGATATTAAACTAACTTCTTATGGGCTTCCCTCCATCTTTCCTCAGCCTGATTACCTGGTCCTTGACTATTGTTTTCTTCCTGATGTGGCTATACAACAGCTGTGGGTAAAATTTGGCTTTCGATGCTATGTCATTCTCGTATTGACGCTGGGTCTCCTGCCTTATCCATGCATATTCATTTCTGACTTTTAGGCTAATCTCGTTATTTTCTTGTCTTTTGTCTTCTATACTTTTTCCGTTCTCTAGCATACTTAGTGTTGGTATCTCTACATCTTTGGTTGAACCAAGGTCTAGTTCTGGTCGTTCCCTTGATTTTGTTGCCCTTAGGAATGAACCTCTCCTCCGCCTCTTTTCTTTATGTGGTCACGTATTCCATCATTTTATTCACTGCTTTTGTTTTTCCACCAGTTCTCTTACCCACTTAAATTCCTCATATCAGTGTAGCCACCTCTTTTATAGTTTAACTTCTCATATCTTACTCGTGCTGCTTTCCTTTCTACTTTTAGCTCTACAATGTATTTGAAACTCATGACCACGTGATCACTAGCTCCGAGGGACATTTCATATGTGATATTCCAATCTCTGAACTACTCAAGGTGAATATGAGGTCCAGCCTTGCTGGTGTGTATGCATTTTCATTCTGCTTTAATAAAGAATCTTATCTTAATACAGGAGAAGGGGTTACTAGCCCCTTGCTCCTGGCATTTTAGTGTGAGTGTGAATGTGAGTGTGTGTGTGTGTGTGTGTGTGTGTGTGTGTGTGTGTGTGTGTGTGTGTGTGTGTGTGTGTGTGTGTGTGTGTGTGTGTGTGTGTATGTGTGTGTGTGTGTGTGTGCGTGTGTGTGTGTGTGTATGTGTGTGTGTGTGTGTGTGTGTGTGTGTGTGTGTGTGTGTGTGTGTGTGTGTGTGTGTGTGTGTGTGTGTGTGTGTGTGTGTGTGTATGTGTGTGTGTGTGTGTGTGTGTGTGTGTGTGTGTGTGTGTGTGTGTGTGTGTGTGTGGGTGGGTGTGTATGTGACTCAACAATCAATATTTGCACCAATAACTCACTACAGTTGTGACCGGGTGTGGAAGTGTGAATTACTCATTACTATAATTTGTTCATGATTGTAGCCATGTATAAACGTAAGTAACCATTCTTACAGAATTCATTACCTTTGTAACTTGTGAACTCATTACCTTTGTACCTAGTTCAGCTATCAAAACTTTGGGGGCCCAGTCCCTGGACCCATTACGTACCTCTGTAATCTGTAAATACCTTTGTAACTTGTCATGATTGTGACTAGACCTACCTGGTGTTCATTACCTTTGTAAATTGTGAGTTCATTACCTTTGTAAATTGTGCGTTCATTACCTTTGTAAATTGTGAATTCATTACCTCTGTAACTTGCTCATCTATCAAAACTTTGAGGCCCAGTCCCTGGACCAATTATGTACCTCTGTAATCTGTAAATACCTTTGTAACTTGTCATGATTGTGACTAGACCTACCTGGAGTTCATTACCTTTGTAAATTGTGAGTTCATTACCTTTGTAAATTGTGCGTTCATTACTTTGTAAATTGTGAGTTCATTACCATTGTAACTTGCTCAGCTATCAAAACTTTGGAGTCCAGTCCCTGGACCAATTATGTACCTCTGTAATCTTTTGACTACCACCCACAGGATGGGTATGGGGTGCATAATAAACATATTAAACTAACTGACTTACGAAGGAAGGAATTTTCCATATATATGTAGTGCAGAATAGGTAAAACTGCTCAGTTAGCAAAAACTCATGTAAAATTAAGTCATTTCTAAAATTTTCTCTTATACTTAAAAAGATTTTTTTTTTCATTTATGTTAATGTAAAAATTAATAATTTTGTACCAAAAGAACCTTAGAAAAATTACCTAACCTTATATATAGCAAGTGCAATTTAATTTAGCCTAATCCTACTTAATATATTTTAGATAAGTTTACAATAATTTAATAATAAACAAATACAATGAAATACATATTTTTCGTTAGGTTCAGAATGGTTTTTGCGAAATTATTGCATACACAAATTTTCGCTTGCCTTATTCGGCAAGAAAAGCGTTGCTATTTAAGCCAAAATTACAAATTTTGCCTATTCGGCACGACATATATGTACAATTTAGCGGGGAAGCGCTAAATCCACAAGGGTTATACAATGGTAAAGAATGGTAAAGAACCATGTTTGGAGTTGGTGTGATCATCGGAGCTTTGGAGCAGCAGCAGCTGCCATGATGGTGTAGCTGGTGTGATCCTTGGATCAACACCAGCTGACATGATGGTGTAGCTGGTGTGATGCTTGGATCAACACCAGCTGACATGATGGTGTAGCTGGTGTGATGCTTGGATCAACACCAGCTGCCATGGTGTAGCTGGTGTGATCCTCGGATCAATACCAGCTGCCATGATGGTGGTTTAGCTGGTGCGATCCTTGGATCAACACCAGCTGCCATCATGGTGTAGCTGGTGTGGTGCTTGGATCAACACCAGCTGCCATGGTGTAGCTGGAGTGATCCTTGGAGCAACACCAGCTGCCATGGTGTAGCTGGAGTGATCCTTGGATCAACACCAGCTGCCATGGTGTAGCTGGAGTGGTCCTTGGATCAACACCAGCTGCCATGATGTAGCTGGAGTGATCCTTGGATCAACACCAGCTGCCATGGTGTAGCTGGAGTGATCCTTGGATCAACACCAGCTGCCATGATGTAGCTGGTGTGATCCTTGGATTAACACCAGCTGCCATGTTGGTGTAGCTGGTGTGATCCTTGGATGAACACCAGCTTCCATGATAGTGGTTTAGCTGGTGTGATCCTTGGATCAACACCAGTTGCCATGATGGTGGTTTAACTGGTGTGATCCTTGGATCAACACCAGTTGCCATGATTGTAGTTTAGCTGGTGTGATCCTTGGATCAACACCAGCTGCCATGATGGTTTAGCTAGTGATCCTTGGATCAACACCAGCTGCCATGTAGGTGGTTTAGCTGGTGTGATCCTTGGATCAACACCAGCTCCCATGATGGTGGTTTAGCTGGTAAATCCTTGGATCAACACTAGCTGCTATGATGGTGGTTTAGCTGGTGATCCTTGGATCAACACCAGCTGCCATGATGGTGGTTTAGCTGGTGATCCTTGGATCAACACCAGCTGCCATGATGGTGGTTTAGCTGGTGATCCTTGGATCAACACCAGCTGCAATGATGGTGTAGCTGGTGATCCTTGGATCAACACCAGCTGCCATGATGGTGGTTTAGCTGGTGATCCTTGGATCAACACCAGCTGCCATGATGGTGTAGCTGGTGATCCTTGGATCAACACCAGCTGCCATGATGGTGGTTTAGCTGGTGATCCTTGGATCAACACCAGCTGCCATGATGGTGGTTTAGCTGGTGATCCTTGGATCAACACTAGCTGCTATGATGGTGGTTTAGCTGGTGAAGTTCAACGATGAGAAATTTCAATTACTCAGATATGGTAAACACGAGGAAATTAAATCTTCATCAGAGTACAAAACAAATTCTGGCCACAAAATAGAGCGAAACACCAACGTCAAAGACCTGGGAGTGATCATGTCGGAGGATCTCACCTTCAAGGACCATAACATTGTATCAATCGCATCTGCTAGAAAAATGACAGGATGGATAATGAGAACCTTCAAAACTAGGGAGGCCAAGCCCATGATGACACTCTTCAGGTCACTTGTTCTATCTAGGCTGGAATATTGCTGCACACTAACAGCCCCTTTCAAGGCAGGTGAAATTGCTGACCTAGAAAATGTACAGAGAACCTTCACGGCGCGCATAACGGAGATAAAACACCTCAATTACTGGGAGAGCTTGAGGTTCCTAAACCTGTATTCCCTGGAACGCAGGCGGGAGAGATACATGATTATATACACCTGGAATTATTATTATTATTATTATAATCAAGGGGGAAGCGCTAAACCCAGAGGATTATACAGCGCCTGAGGGGGGGATGTGGAAGGCATTCAGGCTTAATTCGGGGAACTGGAGCACAAATCCAATTCCCTAAATCAAGAGCCCCTCACCAACATCAAGGAACCTTCCTTGAGGGGTATACACCTGGAAAATCCTAGAGGGACTAGTACCGAACTTGCACACGAAAATCACTCACTACGAAAGCAAAAGACTTGGCAGACGATGCAACATCCCCCCAATGAAAAACAGAGGTGTCACTAGCACGTTAAGAGACCATACAATAAGTGTCAGGGGCCCGAGACTGTTCAACTGCCTCCCAGCACACATAAGGGGGATTACCAACAGACCCCTGGCAGTCTTCAAGCTGGCACTGGACAAGCACCTAAAGTCGGTTCCTGCCCAGCCGGGCTGTGGCTCGTACGTTGGTTTGCGTGCAGCCAGCAGCAACAGCCTGGTTGATCAGGCTCTGATCCACCAGGAGGCCTGGTCACAGACCGGGCCGCGGGGGCGTTGACCCCCGGAACTCTCTCCAGGTAATCCTTGGATCAACACCAGCTGCCATGATGGTTTAGCTGGTGATCCTTGGATCAACACCAGCTGCCATGTTGGTGGTTTAGCTGGTGTGATCCTTGGATGAACACCAGCTGCCATGATGGTGGTTTAGCTGGTGATCCTTGGATGAACACCAGCTGCCATGATGGTGGTTTAGCTGGTGATCCTTGGATGAACACCAGCTGCCATCATGGTGGTTTAGCTGGTGTGATCCTTGGATCAACACACAGCTGCCATGATGGTGGTTTAGCTGGTGATCCTTGGATGAACACCAGCTGCCATGATGGTGGTTTAGCTGGTGATCCTTGGATCAACACCAGCTGCCATGATGGTGTAGCTGGTGATCCTTGGATCAACACCAGCTGCCATGATGGTGGAAGTTATCATAGCATTCAATGTGTTGTTGGTTACCAAGGCTGAGCATTTAGAAACAATCAATGGGGTCAAAATTCCCTCCAACCAAACTGCAGATTATTCCATGTTCTTATAACCTCTCTTTTTTAAAAAAACTGAGACCCTTCTTTTATATACGGTTGTAAGAGAGTTAATATATGTAGTTGCCGGTATATTTTAATTAGAGTTGTTTTCCATTGTTATTTCCTGTATGCACTGGGCAGCCATGATTGTTTATGTTGAGAGAACTGAGACTCAACCTGGACTCTTATCGTATTATTTATGCTCTTTATGCTTCATTTATGTAAGTTATTACAGTGTCCTCTGTGTGTTAATCAGTGAAGCATCTTGCTTTTATTTTAGCGTGAAATGTTGTTGATGTGATGATTACTTTAGCAGTTAGTGAAGGTCAAATAAGAAGTCAGTTGCAGTGTTCTCATGGTAATAGACATACCCCTCAAGGAAGGTTCCTTGACGTTGGTGAGGGGCTTTTGATCTTGGGAATTGGAGCTGTATAGCCCTTGTGGCTTAGCGCTTCTTTTTGATTATAATAATAATTGGGAATTGGATCTGTTTTCCAGTTCCCGGAATTAAGCCTGGATACCTTCCACATTTCCCCACAGGCGATGCATAATCGTACGGGTTTAGCGCTTCCCCTTTATTATAAT